AAGGAAGGGGGCAAATCTGCAAAACTGCTCTGGGTTGTCACTTCCCTGGGAGGGCTGGTGGTGGGAGGGTCGCGGTCATGGGTATGTGACTCAACACCTCCCATGACCTTAGACATTCTTGCAGAGTTGTGGGGGAGAGAAGACTTCCCAATAATATCTCAGCAAAGATGTCCTTTATTTTTTTTTTTCCAGCTGCCTCCACCCTCAGGACCTTGACACTGGACAACCGTGGCTTCCCTACATCGGAGTCTGAGCAATAGATGTTTCCAACATGACCTCTTTTCAACTAGCGGTCAGTTTTTGGGCAATTTAAGGCAGGGTTGTTGGTGGATTCACTCTTAAAACTGAAAACTTTTGAGGAACAAAGCGAACGTACTGGTAGGAATTTGCAAAACAGCCCAACTTCAAAGCATGACGTGCAGGTGAGTCATTAGGGTTCAAATGGAAATCTTGGAGCACTCTGCATGCAGTCACCCTTCTGGCTGGAGGCATGCCTTCTGCTGTGTGCGGGGAGGTGCTACGTCTTCAAGGGCTCGAGTTTACTCCGTGTGTGATTACATTTCAGCACCTCTTACCTTGGGTGATTTACAGCCCGTAGGCCCTGCGCCTACATGTTCAACTTCACTTCTAAAGAGCTTTTGTGTTGCCATAGAAATTAATTGCTAGCATAGTGCAGTGGAGATTTACACTGTAAAATGGCCAAAGCTTTCTAATAAGGACCCTGAGTTGAAACCTTTCCTTCAGTAGGCAGTGAAGAGAGATTTCAGAGAAGGAGCTCGCTTCATGACTTCCTGGCCTGTGACTGGGCAGCAGTTCACCCTGCCATGTAACCTATACGGTTTTATCACTGGATATGGACAAATGGAAGGTGTGAATTACGAAAGATGAAATCAGGCGTTACAAAGAGGTGATCCAGAGCCTAAGTGTCACGCACACAGTAGGTGCTAGGTGGACTCATGTTTAAATGACTACTACATGGGAGAGAGAACTACCAATCACTGGAACGGGCCTGGGTATTCAAGTGCTTAAGGCAACTTGGAATCTGTATGCTTCAGATGCAGCTTAGATACCCCACTCTCACTTTTTAAATGTTGATTTAAGATACTCATTCTTTATATAAAGTGCCAAGGTAACTGCAACTCTGTTTAAGCTTTCAAATTCCAAATTAGTTAAGTCTGAATTAATGGGACCTTGATGTATTATCGCATGGGTGCTTTAGGCATGATGTACAGGCTGAAGTACCCTTAGCAGCTGAAATTCAGGTCTGTTAACTTCAAATTTAAACCATCCACTTATCCGACCAAGGCTTCAAACACTTGAGGAATCATAAAGCAACAGCCTGCTTCAATATACAAGAAGAATGGAAACCAAGTTTGGAAGTTACAGCAGTAGAATCTGCAGACCACACTGTCTTTTCATGAGAAAGCGCAGCAGCTAGTTTGGAGTGTGAGGACTCCGCTGTTTGCGAACCTGCTGGCAGGGCACAGTATCCTGAGAGGATACACCCTGTAAGTCCTCTGGGTCCCCTTCTTTCACCCACGAGGCCTCCCTAAGCAGCACCAGAGACCCTCTCGTTTTGCTGACCAGCTCAAAAAGAAATGGAGCATATAATCCTCCACACCTATGTGGGCTGTGCACAGTGACTTCTGTCCAAAGACGACAGTGTAGAGGGAAGAGCAGGCAACTTTACTGTGGAGAAACCTGACACACACTCTCCTTAGGCCAGGTGGACAAGGTCAACGCCAACAGCCACAGGTCATGCTGATGGTAGGCAGCCTTGCTGTACATGAGGGAATGGCACTTTACCTGCAAACCCATCACACCAGTCTAATCATGAGGGGGGAAAAGCAGACAAATTCCAATAGAGGGCATCCTACAACATCCCTGACCAGTGCTCAACATTGTCAAGGTCCTCCTCAGCAAGGTAAGTCTGAGAAAATGGCCCGGGCATGGGGAGCCCAAGGAGGTATAACTAGATGTAATGTGGCATCCTGGAGGAGATCCTGGGACACAGAAAGGACACCAGGCCTACATTCTCCCTCTAGAATACCTGGGCTCTTCAGAAGATACAGAATCTCTGACATTTAATGTCCAATTTTAAAAACTGCTAGACACAGTGGTAATCAAGCGCCTACCTGCAAGTTTTTCTTCTTCCTAGTACACATCCATGACCATAAAAGTATAGTTTAATAAAACCTTTTAAAAAAGAGACAAAAAAAAGGGCTAGCCCAGGAGGTTTGTGAAGATTTCCCAAAAAGAGGTAATGCCACTTGAGCCAGGTCAGCCCGAGTAGGCACAGGCATGGTGGCAGTTCTTAAATGAGGCAAGGAGTGGGGAGGAGAAGCGAGTGGAGAGATGGGGGCGGGGGCAGATGGTGAGGGGGCTTTTCTGCAGCGCCAAGATCCCTAAACAGTGAAATGACCAGAGCAATGACCAGAGTTAGGGTTTGTTTTTTTTTTTAAGATTTTATTTATTTGACACACACAGAGAGAGAGAGAGACAGTGAGAGAGGGAACACAAGCAGGGGGAGTGGGAGAGGGTGAAGCAGGCTTCCCACCCAGCAGGGAGCCTGATGCGGGGCTCGATCCCAGGACGCTGGGATCATGACCTGAACTGAAGGCAGACGCTTAAAGGCTGAGCCACACAGGCACCCCTAAAGTTAGGGTTTAGAAAGGTTGCCGGTAAGAGTTCAGACTGAGAGAGAGAGAGTGGAGATAGATAAGTGCATGAGAAAACTCAGAATCGGGGTGCAGAAGTGAGGTTAGGTGCCTTCAGTCTGCAGACTGCGGGAGCCGCAGCACCAGGGCCTGAGCGGCCTTCAGAATTGCAAGGTGGCATCGGACGGGACTTACAACTCTGAGGGTACTTAGGTCAGAGCCATATAAAGGCAGATAGAGGCCTGCGGAGAGTCACCCTCACACGGAGGGTAATTCTCTTGAAAGCAGGGAGTACGGGCCGGAGAAAGCTAATGGGCAGCGTTCAAGCTACGCCTCCCATTATGGCGCACCCTGGCCATGCACAGAAGGGCGACTACATGGCATGTGTGTGGAAGCAGGACTGAGGGTGTGGGCAGCCTGCTGGGCCATGGACCAACAAAAAGGTCGCGTACTGAGTCAATGTCTGCTGCTCGAGAAAAGAGACAATGTCACTAGTATGTAAAGGATGACTTTTATTTCCATCCTAAATGACTATCACACCATTATTTAAACACATTTGAAAAATCCTGAAATAATTTAAACCGAAGGCACAGAATAAATCAAAATATTTGAACTATTTACGCTTAAGATGAGAAAATTCAAATATTTCAACAGTAACAATAAATTATGAACAAGTTTCCATCACCAAATATCATTCTGACCAAAAACTATCATGTTTTGTAATAAAACCAAATTAGCTCAAGCGGAGTCTGAGATTTCCATGATAAAAATAAAGTCGAAAAAAGTGTCTTCTTTCAAAATACTCATTATATCCCCAGGTTCAATGTAAGTATTTTATATATAACAAAGTAGCCATTAGGATATTTGTTGATGGATGGCCACTCCCCAAGAAATGACACATTCTTACAAAATGTTTAAAAAAATAGCAAAGTAGGATATAAAATTTCTATTTGGGGAGCAGGAAAAAAAAACTTGTTCCATGTCAATTAGAATATCAAAGCATTTCAATACCAAATTGCTTCAAAAGCCAATCATCACATAACAGTAATATACTGTATGGGACATTCCACTGTATCTTGGTTATATATTTACCATACAGTGTAGCTAAGGGGTTGAACAAATCAGTAGCAATTACTATTGCCATTTCTTATTTATTCAAAAGTGATTATGTTTAAAAAAAAAATCACTAAAAAACTAACAGGAATAATCAGTGACATGCTACAGACACAATAAGCCCTAGCAATACAACTGCCAGTTTGAAAATAAAGTGGTCATGCTTCATAATATACTGTAGTGTTTTTGAAATACATTCTCTGATAATCAATACCATTTATTACAGAGGGCACTTGTAAAGGAGCTCAGATTCTGAACTAGGTTTCTAAGTGAAACTCTTTTCAAGTATGCGTAATATTAAGAAGGTAAAGAAATTTTGATCTTATTCGCTTCTTTATGCGTTCTTCCAAGGAACAATCAAGTGGAATGAAGGACTAACAAAATGGGCTGGTTGTAGTTTTCAAAAACATTTAGAAAAATAAGAAATAGCCTCGTGACCAAGAACTGACTGAAAGATATTAACATCTAAAACCTACTATTTTAGATAAAAATCCAGGCCTTTCCAGTCTTTTTCTTGAAATAATTAAGTTCACAAGAAATAATGGGGAAAAAATAAGGATTTCTAGAACACTGAAGGCTCTTCTCGGAATGAAATAAAAAAAAGTATACCTTCTCCTACACTGAGCTGCGATATAGATCAATGTGTGTGGAATAGCAACACGGTTTTATCTTCAGTTTAACTACAGAAATCACAAAAGCATGTCCAGCCAAGACTGCTGATAAGTACAATACAGAGTCTAGAAAATGAATTTTAGCAAAATCTGCTTCAAAATTTCCCTGCATAACAAAACATTCCTTTGGAAAGGAATCTTTAATGCTTCTGGACTTCTGCAAGCAAGTGTGGCTTTTACCATCTCCAGCACTAAACTATAGTTACCTCCCAAATGCCTCTGTCAATGGAAAACGTGACCTTTGATTATCTAGTATTCTAATTAATGGTACATTATTCTTTAAAAAGCTCTTTAGTAGTGTGAGACTTCTGTCTTCAGCATCTATGAGTACTAAGAAATTAAAGGAGAAACAAAACAGAAATATCACTTTATAAACAATATGAAGTTTTGAAATGTTGGCACTGATGGGGAGAAAACGGGGAAGGGCTACAGCTAAGATGAAGTACATCTTCATCCGTTCGTGGCGCCGGCTGCACCAGGGGGAGCGAATGGCACAGCTGTGGGTTCCATCGGGTGGACCGCAGCCTGTGCGCACTTCTTTCATTATTTTAGGTCACATTCTGACAATGGAGAGTCTGAATTTTGAAAATACGAGCTTACAAGGGTTAGTGGAAGACCAAGCTAAAAGAAACGTGGCTAACTGGAGGAAAGCCGTTTTACTAATAACAAAAGGACAATCTCAGTGGTTTTGGGCCCTGCAAACACCAGCTGTGTCTGTAGCTCCTAAGCAGAAACACAATCCAACGAAAGGGGTTTCTTTCCAAAGCCTAAAAAAGGAAGATGTTCGACTCACAACCGATTTCAAATCCTACACCAGGCTTCCAGGCCAGCAGGTAACTGTCAGAGTGACTTTGTTCCTCTGCTCCTTCAACATGGGAACTAGTGCGGAGTGGCTCATGCCCACCGTTGACAGGCCGTTGACGGCTACAATCATATCTCCACATCTGGCCAAAGACAAACAGAAAGGGCTGTTAACTATCTTCACGCAATTAGAAAACATTATCCTAATGGAGATTTGTTTAGCACGAAATTCACAGCTTCACTTAAGCATCAGCTGTCAATGGTGAGGGTATATTTTCTACTTTGTAAGACATCTGGGGCGATTTTTAAGCCTGTATTTGGCCTTCCCTTGCCAGTCACGGGGCACCCCTGGGCCCACCCCTCCTCTAACTGCTGGGTGATTTTGAGGGCAAGCAGAATAATTTTCATGTAAGCTTAAGCAAAATGTAATTAGGAGAATAAATGTGCTGACTCTTTAAGAAATACTAAATAATGCATTCGGAGGGGGTTGCTTATTATTTTGACGGTTCTTCCTCTGTTCATTCTTAGAACTCATACATTTGAGGGTTCAATTACGTTGAGAATAACACCCACACCTCCTCTTCTCTCAGCTGCTGCTGCTTGCTGTCCTGACAGGATTATCACAATTGGATGATAAATCTGAAGGCCTTTCTCTCCTTTATGATTTTTGCTCTTTAACAAACTATTTTATTGTTAGCTACTTCAATTTTTTTGGAAGTAGGTGGAATGCAGATTATAAATTAATTAACTGAAACCCAGATTGGTTGAGTAACTCAGCTAAGAGAATGGTTAATTCATTTCCCCCCTACTCTTTCCACCTAAAATACTGATTTTTTTCACTCATCTCTGTCAATGTAAGACTGATCGGGAGCATACTGACCCTGATCAACTTTTCACAGGACTATTCAGATGGCACTTTGTGTCTGTGATCAGTATACACTCTCCATTTGTGTGGCACTCTAATATGTCAACAGTTACTTTTTAAGAATTGGCTCTTCCATCAAAAAACCAAGCACTAAGACCTTACACTAATCCATTTCCTCTCTGTTTGTAGAATCTCTTGATCTAACACCTCTTTCTTCTCCCAGTGCCTGAGCTTTGATAAAGGAAAGAGGCTGCATGAGGTTGGCTGAGGACTTCCTGCCCAGCAGAGGGGTAAATAGCCCAGGCTCTGGAGAGAGAGTCCTGGGTGTGAACCGCAGTCAACCATTTCCAGCTATTTGACTGTGGGCAAGTTTCTTTATCTTTCTGAGACTTAGTTATCTCGTGTATCAAACATGAATAGCAATGACAACACTCACCTCACAGGGCTATTAAGAAGATTCAATAATACAATCCCAAGCACTTAGCACTGTGCCTGGCAGCTCTCACACATTCATTCATCAAATATTTATTGAGACCTTACTATTTACACAAGGCACTGTTATGCTGGCCAGGAATGTAACAATAAATGCAACAAAGCCCCCCCCCAACCCACACCCCTTCATGGAGCTTGCATAAATATAATGTTAGGTAGACATAAGTGCTGTGGAGAAAAATGAGCAGAGTCATCTAATGACAGGACTAGACCTAAGGGGTGTGTGTGGAATGACTGCTCAGAGCTAGCTGTCGTATCTCAATGTGTTGAATCAGATGACTCAGGTTTGGTCCCTGTTATTAGATTAGCAAAATAGAACTATCAGCGGCAAGATGGTCAAAGTGATGCTTCAGTCGAGATCTGGCTGGCACATTGTTTCTGTAAAGGGCCAGTTAGTAAACAAGTATTTCAGTCTTTGTGAACCACATGGCCCCTGTCACAATGACTCAACACTGCCACTGTGGCTCACAGGCAGCCATGGAGGATGTGTAAGCAGACGAATGCAGCCATGTTCCAGGAAAACTTTATTTACAAGGAAGGACAAAGGCTGGGTCAAGATTGTGTCCATCACAATAAACATAAATCACATTATCTGATTATCACAAGACTCACTTTAATCTTCCATCATAATAAGCAGGAGTCCCCAAGACGATGGTTTTAATGAAGAAAGGCTGATTGGTGTGGTTCTCTTCATATCCACCAACAATACTAAAGCCCCAACTTCCCAAGTAGCTTCTTCGTAAAACTATATCATGGCAGCTATGAAGGGCACTATAACAAACACAAAGATCAAGAAAAAATTAATGGGGAGGCTTTTATACCCTGTTCACCTTTGTTGTAACTCCATACTTACCACTGCTGGGAAACAAAAAAGGGCTACTTTATTTCCTTCTGAACACATTATTCTGACAACCCATTTTCTAGCAGACTCAGTCCTAGGCAGACTGGAATTTCTCCAACGTTTTTCGGTCTTCTTTTCCCAAGTGAACACACACACACACACACACACACACAGAGAGCTAAACACACCTGGTTACAAGTTACACCACAGAAAGTCGTATAAAATGGTTCTGTGCCTACGTTTGCCCTCTGCACTGTCAACAATGTCGTCAATTCGGATATCCATCTGTATCTACAGAGTTTGTATCTACAAAATGGTGGTACAGAAGGGATCCAGTCCTGCTAATCTCAGCACTCAAATGAAAGAAAGGTAGAAAACTTTCTTTTTAATCTATGTGAGGAGTTGTTGTTCTTTCCTCCTTCCCTTAAAATGCACTCATTTTAAGGGAGACAACCTGACAAAATAGAGAACTCAATCTAGAAAACACTAATGAAAATCATCTCTTCCTTCCCCCCTCCCCTTTTTTATTTTTAACCAGGGACATTGAGATGCTTCCGTTAAAATGCCACTGTCAGTTGGAGGATGTGACACGTCAGAGTTCGATGAATAAAAACTTAAAAATAAAAATAGAAAAAAACCCCACCTAAATGATATAGAAAAAATATCTCTTTATATGAAAGAAGTCTCTTTCATTTTTAGAGGAAATTGGATCTAGTCATCTAAGGCAAGGTTTCCTGTTTTTGATCTATTAAAAAGATTTCTTAATTCTGTAAGCGATATACGAAATGCTAGAACTTTTAATCTGGTCCAGTTTCTTAGCTCACCGATAAGAAAGGGCTTTTAAAAAGGCTTCTGGCATAGAGCAGGGTCCCAGGCATTAGCCTGGTATTTTAGAGACGATACAGATTATTTTCATGATTCTGAATCTTCTGCAAAAAACAATCAAAACAACACAAAACAAGTAACTGTTTTGTCTGGTACACCCCTAGCCAACTGCAGAGGAAGAACCTCCCTTTTCAGAAAGAGCAGAGCTGCTACCCTATGTGATGTGAAACCTGCTTGAAGGAGGTTTCTGACATGTGGCCCTTCTGACATGTGGTTGTGAATACAGGTCTGCACACAACAGAAGACCCCCAAGACTCCACAGAATAGTGACCGTTGATTGACAGATACTCTTTCGATACAGGTGGACCCCAAAATAGATTTTACTATCCCGTGTATTTTTCATCTGAAATATTCATTAGTCTTCCTGGTACACCTGAAAATGCTCTGAAGACAAGAGGTAAAGAGCTGACCACAAAGCTAGCCTGGAATACGAGATAACGAGAACCAGATAAAAAGCCCCAGCGCGGCACAGCGCCAGTGTCTGCCTGGCCACCAGCAGCCGTGCGCATGTGCAAGGCCACTGCACAGCAGGGGAGACCACTTCTCACCCACTGGTGTGGGAGGGGGCCTTCCTGACACGCTAGGTTTCAAGTGACAGGTCAATGTATTGGGCTGAGTACTTAACAAGATCAATGAGTTCCCTCTGATGGCTGACACCTCACCATTAGGTAGCTTGTCTGCAGTTTCTTAGCAACCATTTGAATCGATCCCTACAGGCCCCTGAGACATGAATTCTATTACAGTTTTAGGCCTTTTTAGTCTTTTTCAACCAAGAGGACAAGTCAGGAAGTTAGATGATTGACAAATGAATTCCATTCATCCTTGCTTTCTCTGCTACTCTTTATGTGAAAGTACTTTTCTTTAGTAAATCATATAGAACTATACAAATGCTAGTTACTACAAATTACATCCAAATGAAGCTAGATGGCTCAGAAACTGGCATTCCTATTGTATATTTTTATTTTAAAAAATCAGTCATTTTCATACTTGGCTCAGAGTCAAAATGTTTCATCATAGTTCAGTTTTAGGATTCCTCTACACATTAAGAATCTAAAGTGATCTGGAAACAAAGACAGTAATACACATTCTTCCTATCTCAATACCAAATTATACAACCCTCAGGAGGTTGCAAACACTTTCATGACCAGACAATGACCAATTGCAGAATGTCTTGGCGGGTGACAGTCCTGAAGCAGTGAACTCTTCACTAAGGTGGTGAGGGGCACCTATTCTTGAACACCAATGGTTTGGCTTAAATGTCCAATAAAAACTGAGTTTTACATCCTGCCTTTTTAGGGAGAGTTAAAAAGATTAAGAAAGGGGTTTTAGAAAAGCTTCTGGAGTAGGGAAAGGCCACACACTTTGACCTGGTTTTCCTGGTGAAACGTGCACATGAAGTCTAAGCATGTATCAGAATGCATGGTGGTAAATGAGAGCTTTTCTAAAGCAAGAGACTGAACATGGCTGGTCCACTTAAGAACCTTAATAGGAATGGACAGAACAGCTTTATTCATTTTTACAAACAGATATAATAAGTCTTTTTAGCCTAGTTCTTATTATTAAACTTACCTTAACTTACATTTTTTAAGAATGTTTTAATTTTTTAAAAATTAAAAAAAAATTTTTTTAAAAAACTCACGACCCTGAGATCAAGACCTGAGCTGAGATCCTGAGTTGGATGCTTAACTGACTGATTCACCTAGGCACCCCTTAAATTTACCTTTTAAAATATAATATTCTAAGAAAAAAATACCACTTTCTTTTGTAACTTGATATGCCATTGCCACTTTTATCTCTGACTAGGGCCTTCCCCCCCCCCCCGATGAGTGAATTTACCATGTTACACACTGAGAAAGGTTGTCACTATGATTATTCCATGAAACCACCAAAACGTTGTCAGTACCTTGGAAGCCCAAGCCACATGACCCATGATGGGGACCAGCTGGCGTCATATTCATTCTCACTGAAGGTGCTGGGCTGCTCTTCGGTGGCCTGGGATGCCTCCTCGACAATCTGGACCTCAAGTGCTTTCAGGACAACAGCGGGGGATGCGGCACTGGCTTTCAGCATAGCAACGGCCTCACTATGACTTAAATTGGTCAAATCAATGCCATTGATATTCAGCAGTATATCACCTGTCCAAATGAACAAACAAGAAAAATGAGATGGGCTACCAAGTCATTATCTTCCCTGTACATCCTGTTATTTGTAATTTTTTCACTTCTCTGTCATTGTTACGATACCGAGGGAAAATCCAATTCATGGAAAACATTCCAAAACAACTCAAAACCTTAAGATAATTTCATTATATATAGGAAAAAGTGTGGCTTGAGGCACTGTGATTCGACAGGAAGTCTAAATCATTAGACCTAGTTTTGCTATGTGCAGGACCTGGGCATGTTCATTTCTCTTCTTTGGGCTTCAGTGATTTCTATAGTTCTTTTCTGCTCAAAAATTATTTGATCCTTTGCTCTTAGAAATGAATTTGTAATATATCCTGTCTTATAGTTACACAGTTTTATACATAAAGATAGCCCTACATAGTTTGCTCAGCGCTAACATATCAGAATACTTAAAGAGAAGAGATCCTTGGGCCTACACAAAGAAATGAAACTTGTGATTTGAACATCTTCTCTTGCTTGAGGAAGAAAAAAAGTGTTTGTTGCCCTGCCAAGTAATATAATAATAAAAGGGCAACGAGGATTATGTAAAAGGTTAGGAAGGAAAAGTTTAGTTTTGTAGGTACCAAGAAAGTCTACGGAAAGTCCTTCTCTCCCAATTCATCACTTATTTTTCAGATTATGAAAACAAAATATTCTCATTGCAGAAAACCTGGAAAACAAATAAAATTACCCTAAATTCCACAATTGGGCAAATAACATTTTTAAAAAAAAAATAGCAGCCTTATGAAAGTATAATTCATATACCACTCATTCCACTCATTTTAAAGTATACAATTTTTGGTTTTTAGTACAAACACATTGTTGTGTAACCGTCACACATCATTTTTAGATCCCTCCCCCCAAGAACCCTGTATTCATTAGCAGTCACTTCCCATCTCGCCGCACATCCCCCGCCCCCAGCCCTGAGCAAACTTGAACTATTCTACTTTATGTCTCTACAGATTTGCCTATTCTGGACATTTCATATCAATGCAACCAAACATGGTCTTTTGTGACTGGCTTCTTTCACTTAGCATAATCTTTTTAAGGTTTATCTATACAGTAGCTTGTGTTAATACTTCATTCCTTTTTTTTAAAATACTTCACCCCTTTTTACGGCCAAATAACATCCATTGCATGGACATAATACATCATGTTGATCCATCCATCAGGTAGTGGACATATGGATGATTTCTACTTTTTGACTATTATGAAAAATATAAGTTTTTGGGTGAGATGTACATTTTCATCTCTCTAGGAACAGAATTGCTGGGTCATGTGGTGACCCTGATTTTAACTTTTTGAGGAACCGCTAAACTGTTATCCAAAACAGTTGGACCATTTTATGTTCCCACTGGCAATGTCTGAGAGTTTCAATTTCTCCACATCTTTGCTAATATTACAATATTACTGTCTTTTTTATTATGTTCATCCTACTGTGTATGAAGTGGTTTTGATGTGCATTTTCCTAATATCTAATGACACTGAGCATCTTTTCATGTGATTTTTGGCTGTTTGTGTATCTTCTTCGGAGTAATGTCTATTCAGATCCTTTGCTCATTGAAAAACTGGGTTATCGGTCTTTTTTATTACTGAATTCTAAGAATTCTTTATGTACTCTAGATAGGAGTCCTTCCTTAGATATAACGATCTGCAAATATACCCTTCCATTCTGTGGGTTATCTTTTCACTTTCACTATCTTTTTGCTTTCTTGGTGGTGTCCTTGGTAGCACAAAAATTTGTGATTTTGATGAAGTCCAGTCTATTTTCTTTATTGTGTTGCATGTGTCTTGATGTCATATCTAAGAAAACCACTGACTAATCCATTACCTAATCCAAGGTCATGAGGATTTATGCTTGTGTTTTTTTCTAAGTCTTAACTCTTACTTTTTTTTTTAAGATTTTATTTATTTGAGAGAGAGAGAGAGAATGAGAGACAGAGAGCACGAGAGGGAAGAGGGTCAGAGGGAGAAGCTGACTCCCTGCTGAGCAGGGAGCCCGAAGCGGGACTCGATCCTGGGACTCCTGGATCATGACCTGAGCCGAAGGCAGTCGCTTAACCAACTAAGCCACCCAGGCGCCCCTTAACTCTTACTTTTAGGTCTTGGATCCACTCTAAGTTAATTTTTATATACGATGGGAGGTAGGGATCCAACTTCATTCTTAGAAAAATAGCTTTTAAGACTCACTTTCCCATATGAACAAACCAAGTGTATGGAGAAAGCTCTTTTCACTACTACCACCCCTACCTCTACAAATTGTACAGTACTGGTGGGGGGTGGGGTGGGGCAGGGAATGTGAAATTATGAGTTAATCCCTAAAACTGTGCCTTTTTATTAAGATTGTCTTCCACTCTACCTCTTCTGTGAGACCCCTCCTACATAGGTACTAATGTAAGCAACATCTGTTATTTTAGTGAGATAGTGAGTATCCAGTCTGCCAGGAAGTGAGAAGCGTTAAATCTTTTAGAGGGTCTTTTCCAACAGAAAATAATCCAATGATCTGAGTAAACATTAGAAAATAACGGAGACATCATCAAACTGCCGCAACTTTCCTTCACATTAGGCGTTTTTCTACCTTACAGAGAGGTTTACACTTATATATGAAGGGACATTTTAAAGGATTAAAAAAAGTCATGTTTTAATAGAAAACTTTCTAGATACTTGTTATTTTTTCAAACACGAACTGAACACAGGGAGATGTGGTGAACCTGGTCCCGGCCCTGTCTTACCTCTCCTGACGCGGCCGTCACGTGCAAGGCAGCCATGAGGTGGCACGCTGGTCACAAAGATGGGCAGCTCACCACTCTTACTTCCTCGGCCCCCAGCCACTGTCATTCCCAGGGACTCGTGTGGTTCCTTCTTTACCGTAATGTGTTTTTCTTGGCATGTAACACACTGGCTAAGATCCTAACACATGAGAGGAAAATTTATTGGATAATACATAATACATAGCTGAAGTAAAGTAAAGGAAACTGAAGGAAAAAGTACCATGACAATGATAAAGTCATTTTTAAAATCACTTACTATAGAAGTAATACACAGTTCTTCGTGGTACAAACACTACACCAAACACTGGGGATCACAATGTCAAACTTTGGACTGCTGTATTTTCATATGACTATTTATGGAACGGAAAAAAACTCAGGACTGCTGACATACGGAAGTCAAGATAAAAGAATTACATCATTTGTATAATTATCTTGGGCTCCAAGATATGATCAATTCTATGAAAGTAAATAATGAATTTATTCTGAATGCATTCTGATTCTGAAGACAAGCCAATTAATTTTATTTCCATCTCTCTCCTCTGTTCTTTGAAAGAAATGCTGACAGAATAGTACAAAAGTAAAGGGCAGATTTCATTAACTTCCAGAAAAAAGCTACAGATCTATCTTCTGTTTCTTACTCATGAGGATTATCAGAATGCTCAATCATGAAACAGGTGCAAAGTGATCTTCAAAACCTTCATGGAAAGCTACAAAGATATGAAATAACCGAATTTTTTAAAAAGTTAATGAAGAGAAAAAATTCCCAACAAACTATGTTCTCAGGAAAAAGCAATTTTTACTGACATTTATTGTTGCTACTTATGGAAACACTCCTAGAAGAAAAGGAGAATTTAAAACATCACCTTTCTTTTTAATTAGAATGCAATAAAAAACAAGGTGTACATATGCAACATCAACATTAAACAGCAACAGTAACTACCATGTATTGAAGATTTACTATATGTGTAAAGCAAATGGCTTTACATGCATTATTTCGTTTTAATCTTCACAATGGTCCTGAATATAAATCCTATTGTTGGCCCCATTTTACAGATGAGGGAACAGCCTTAGAAAGATCATGTGATTTGCCCCACATTATACAGCTATATGTGACTACACTCAGATTTGAACTGATTCGTTAAAAAAAATTACATACACATACATATGTAGTATGTGTATATACATATACATGTATTCATATATGGTTTGTGTATGTTCATATAGCACGATGCACTACTTATATACTGGTTATACGCATCCACACTACAAGGGCACTATCCCATTAAGTGGAACAATGGAAGTTAATATCTCAAAAGGTTCCTAACACTTATCAACTATAAGAGCGTACTGTAGATAATAAGATAACTTTAACATGATTAACAATATCAACAACAGAACTAGATGAATTCTATTTATAGAATTGTAACATTTCCTTTAGTGACACTACTTCAGAGCGGACAGGTACCTATCTGTTAATCAAGCCCTGGAGCTGCAGGCGCATCTGCTCTTCTCTGGTCCTGGAACCCATACTCTTAAAATTTTATTAAGGGAACTACTTATAGTCAACATCCTAGAGTTCCTAGACTTTTGACCTCGTAGAAAACCTGTAAACGGCTAAAGGTGGTATGCTAGCCTTATGACATCTATGTTAGCATCCTTCAAATCTGGGCAAGACCCACGTTATTATGAAGACAATCCAGGTAAACTCAGCGGTGAGTACCTTTATTTCAACAGTTTTGGCTGTCGGGTATTTAATCAATTAGAGGCGGTTGTTTTATTCCTCTATATGGCTGAGATGTATGCATTTTAGCCAAACTTCACAGATTACACTTGGTACGCTTCACGGAAACTTCTAAGAGCTTAACACCGCATGAATGTTTATCCAAGCAGTTACGCAGAGGCTTACTAGTAGACTAATGTGCACTTTAATTTTTAACTGATTATCCTCTGAACAGATTGTTTTGGTGAATCTGTGTTTGTTTTCCCTAGGAGACCTTTATTTTTCAAAATCAGGACTTGGCATAACAAATGCTGTATGTTAACACTAAATTGTTAAATTAACGCTTAAAAGTACATTTCTTGTGGTTGTTCCAACCAATCAGGTTTGTAGAGTACCTAGAAGAATTCAGCATTCCTATTTAAAACACTGTCACATAAAATTAAAGAATAAGAATTAGTAAAAGAAAAATATATGTGCCTAAAACAAATAAAATGAGATAAACAGTTCTCTATATGAATGTTGAAATGATTAAGTAGTTTTTAAAATGTCTTAAAATTATAGTGTCTTCGGACACCCATATTTCAAATTACTGTAGAATTCACTGATATAAAAGATTCAATGATCAACTTTTGCCTCACATTGTAATTCGTTAGGAATACGTGTATATACGTAACTTGTAAAACAAGGACCAGCTATGCGAAACAATAACCACTTTTCATAGCCATCATTGTGAAAGCAAAATTAGAGGTTTCCTTCATACATTTCATCTTCTGTTCAAAATTAACAACAAGTTTGTGGTTATAATTTCTTAGAAGTATTAACTGAACCTAAGACCAGTGACAAATCTATACTTCAGCTCAGAAAACCAGATAAACCCAATGGGTCAAAAATACTTGTGCCTTTAAGCGATGCTTTCTTGGGCACCTGTGACATTCCAGAGGTACTCTTTCAAACTGTACTTACATTAAGAAGCCACTTTAAGCTAAATATGAGCTTCTAAAGTTATTCTCAAGTAAAATTAAATTGCTTTACTAAATAAAAACTTATTTATTGGTCAACTTAAAAACTATAGGAAGTTTCCTATGTGCAATTTTCACACAGTTGGTAAAGAGCATTGCTTTAAAATGTCTGGCCTAGTGGAAGTTGAGTTCAAATGAAAGATCAAATGAAGTAAATAATACTGAGAACACAGTAAAGTACCACTGTTTTTGATTTCTACTGATTTCTACATCTAAAGTGAGACAGCATCAAAATTCTCAGCACAGATAAATGACCTAGGAATATATTATAAAAGTGGTGAAATAGTAAAGATGCAGAAAACGCTCAACATAAGGGAATTTAAAATGATTTAGGGTAGTATTCCTATAAGCTATAACAAAGAGAAATGCTTTACATGCTTTGCATGTACCTATCAGAATGTATGATTTATGCTTAATACTCACATAGAGAATTCTGTTGTTGTAGGCAACCTGCCCAACTGCTAAGTATGGACTTTTCGATCATTGTCTTCATTATGCTTTTTCAATCACACAACCAATTGTTACATTTGAATGAGCAAACCAAGATAAATCCCACTTTAAAGGAGGACCAAACAAAGAAGTTTTTCTAGAAGATCAAACACTTCTCATCAAGCACCTGGCGGAGGGACCTTCTTACTAAGAAACCACCCCTACTGGCTGAGGAACTGAGACTGTACAGTGACTCTCCAGGTAGCCAAATACACATTTCACATCCCAAACACTTGAGTTCATCTTTTCCAACAGAGTAACAGCCCTCATTTAAATCTTACCAGCTTGTAACAAGGACCCTTGAGGGTAGATGAATGAAAACATGCAAACACAATGCCTCACCTTATGTGAGCTGGGTCTGTTGTTATACAGCGGCTGTGCATGATGCTGGCTGCTACTCTGAGCTCCTGCGTCTCGGACAGGGTTACCAGGCTGGGATTTCCCTGGTCTAGCAATTGTTAAATCCACCCTCTCTCCACTAGCCTAGAGAAAACACACATACATAACCACCAGTCATTAATAATGCTTCTCACTTAGAAAATTATAGGGAGTGTAATTTTCAGTGCACTTATCATCTCTGTACCAGAGCCTCACCTGAGTGGTGACTGCAGGCACCTGCTGAGGGGGGGGGGGGGAGTTCATTTCAGGAGCTAATACTTTAAAACTTCTGCAGTTAAAACACCCACACACAGGCCTCTTGGGTAGGCCTTCCCTAACCCTGGAAATACCAAGGACATAACCAAAGCAAAGCAGTCAAAGGGTAATTGAAGGGTAACTGTCTTTTCGTTCTTCTTTCCCCTGCAAGACTGACCTTAGCACTGAGACAAAGAGAGCAAAGGAAAGAAGATAAAAGGAAGAACTGGTTCAAAACTGGATTAGAATCCTTTGTGACTTCTGAAATAAATTCCAGGGTGGCTACTTTTGAGAGTGATAATCAATGAAACTATGTACAGCTTTGTTTCTGCTTGCTACAGGTTTAAATTAAAAATAGGGTATCAGCTTAAACAGTCCTGAAAAGAATGGTAACAACGGTCCTGTAAAACAAAATTAGTATTTATGTACATTGCATACTGTGTGCGTATATATATCACATATGTGCACACACGCACAAATGTTATGTTAAATTATTTTAGAGGTTATGACTACCACCTTGAATTTAGAGGTCCATTATCTGTATTTATAGATCTATATTTGAAACACAGATTCACATCTATTGTATTTTTTAAAGCTATTTTATCTTTGCTTTTAATGTACAGGCCTGATCTATTTGATGCTGATTCTTGGTCATGACTACAAGTTCCCAAGTTTACTATTAATTCCTACGGTAAAATCTGACAGCTTGCTTTCAAGAAGCTACTGTGGAAAGTAGAACCCTCCCCCATGATGATAGTCAATAATGTTAAGAAATCACTCCATTTTCAGTTCTCAAGTTGGAAAATGAGTGAAAACCAATTTTTTTAAAAGATTTTATTTATTTATTTGAGAGAGAGAGCGAGAGAGCAGGGTGGAGGGGCAGAGGGAGAGGGAGAGGGAGAGGGAGAAGGCAGCTCCCCGCTGAGCAAGGAGCCCAGTGTGGGGCTTGATCCCAGGAGTGACCTGAGCCAAAGGCAGCCGCTTAACTGACTGAGCCACCCAGGGGCCCAACTGATAACCAATCTTAAGGCCCTATTAAAAATCATTTACTTATTCAAGCATTTCATTAAACCAGTTTCAGATAATTCTTCAAAATAACTGAAAGAGTAACACTACACATGCGGCCAGAGTCTGGGGACTTGATCTAACGGGTAAATGCCAAAGTAGAACATTTAGAATCCTGATATTTGAGATCCTGACACTTCCAATTATTAGATCACACAGTGTGAAGGGTGAGGAGCCCCTTTGTGATCTCATTTCAATGTACAGAATTGTTTGCTTTATTGCATAACACTCACCACCACCAAATACTCTATAATCAGTAATTCAGCTTTATTGGAAGGCCACTGCTTATGCAAACCCATTAACATTAACAAACAAATCCCTGATCTTTCTTGATTTCCGAAAGACAAAATTCTGGGCGCATGATGGAAGTGGACATATAAGCTTTAAACGATGGTTCTACATTTCGGTTTAGGCTAGTTTTAAATAGCACATCTAACACTTCAGGGTTTCAAATACAACAAAAGAATTCTGTTAAAGTCAAGATTTTTAAAAATGCAGGATGCCTAAATGACAATACCTGTACTTCATAAAAAAGTGGTATGCCCTATTGCTGGGAGTATATATTGGTATGATCTTTCTAAAGGGAAGTTAAGCAAAATGTCTTAAACTTGAAAACAAAACATTAAAGTCTGTCAACAGGGGAATGATTAAATAAGCTTTAGTACAACATGCCTCCTACACAACTCTATCATGATGAGTCTATTTTCAGGGTAAGAGGTCCACAACACTGCTGACATAAAGAAAGGTTGGCAAACTGAGAATCTGCAAGATGAGTGCATGTGTAAGTATCTATGTAAATATGTACCTATTTATTTGCAGTCCTCTACAGAAAAATGTAACGATGTTCTCCAAAATATTAACGTCACTTTCTTATGGAGTTTAGATTGAATGTGATTTTAACTTTCTTCTTTATTTTCTGTATTTTGTCTTCATTAGTCTCCTTTTTAGACATGCAGTACATGTTACTTTTAGAATCTAAAACAGTTAAGATTTAGTTTTTTTCACAAAGAAACAACTTGAGCAATATATAATATTTGATATTATGTATATTATAAGGTATCTGTATCCTCTTTTTTTAAACCTCAAGTCTGTGACATGAGACCAATGCCTGAATCTCCCTCCTAATGCAATATGGCTACCGTGTGTGTGTGTGTGTGTGCGCGCATGCATGTGTGTGTATTATGGTTATAGTGAACCAAAAATTTGTGAAAAGGAGTAAGTTAAATGGGATTGAGACTTGGATTTTCTTACACAGTAGCTTAAATCTTCACTGTTATTCAATTCTGTCTACTATACACATTTCTCAGTGACTATCAACCTACTTTAATTCCTGATGCTCGATTATGTTAATGCTTGGTTTCCTTTATGTAAGAGTGTTTTCTTGTGCTTACTTAAAAAAACAAAACAAAACAAAAAACCACACACATCTTTGTTTCAACCTTATCTCTGTAGGAGATACCCATATCGTTAAATGCTGTGGCAGGTTACAGAAACGGAAGATCTGCTCTGGATGATTTTCTACTTTATGTTAATGCTCTTATTGAAAAAAATTTTTTTCTAATAATAACAGTATATATACTGTAAGAACACAAGTTATGATGTGTTTGAAATGCTCTGAAAGCTTTATAAAAAAGGCACTATAGAGATTAAGAGTTATTCTTAATAAAAAATTATTTCCCCCCACTTGTATGGAGCTGAAGCGGAGAGGGAAAGTTACGAAAGTAAGGTAAGAACTTTGGAGCCACAGCTCCTTCAAGCTTTGCTTATCTCACCTGTTAAATGTGGACACCGCCGTTTTTATGTCTGGGCCTAGGCGGAGCCCAGGGAGCAAATGAAAAACCCATGTGAAAATGTAGAGCCTTCACTCTATGTAAAGAGCAAGCCTGAACATCCACAGGGATACAGTTTTCCAGAAAGGATTCTACCTGTAATGAAGTTATACTATTGTGCATTTTGAAGGATTTGGGAGCCATGTTTGATTTCCCGATGAAATATCAAATATCCTTGGGATTCTCATGTTATGAAAACAGACATCGATATACAGTAATAAAGACTGAGCATTTGGAATGAACATCTGGCATGTACCTGAATGATCTGGGCGGCAAGCTCAGGGGTCCCGTGCTTCAGGTCATGTCCATTGATGGCGAGCACTCGGTCATTGCTGCTCAGCCTTCCATCCTGTGCAGCCAGCCCCCCCTCCAACAGGTCAAGAATAAAAACGCCTGCCTCATCGGTCCTTCGTACGAGTTTAATGCCAAGCTGTTCACCAGAGTCCCGTTTGTGAAGGACCACGTGGAAGACCTCTTCCCGTGGAGAGCTCCCATCAGAGTGGCTGTACGTCCGGTTCCCAAAGCGCCTCTCTCGCAGCACGGTAAGATGCAGCGTGGTGCAGGGCTGGGAGAGGGCGGCTCTGGCATAGTTGTGAGATACATTGCTGATGTTACAGTTGTTGACCTGGAAGACAAGAATTATGACCAAAGTGTGATGATCTTTTATTTTCTCAACTTGTAGAAATGTTTATACACCATTTCCAAAAGAAACTAACTTTGGAAAATGACATATAGTCATTATTTATAAAGAAAAGCACTCCAAAGATGTTTTAAAATACACAGTTCCTAAGCTTCACTCACAATGACTAGCATGAAGTAGAGAATGACAGTTAGCATCTCAGGCTTCAGTGATAGTGTTGAATCAGAGTCCTTGGTTCTGCCACGTACTAGCGGGATGGATGTCTGAGTGTCCCCTCGGAGGTGAGATGGGTTTACTCTCCACTTCACGGGACCAGGAGGAGAATGCAGAGACAGCAACAGCATATGACAAGGGCTAATGAAATACTAGTTCTAGTAGAACAGAAACTGAAGTTGTATTGGATTGAAGTGGCTTTTTCAAATGAAAAACACTTAAGCTGGAAAAAATACACTGAGTTTTATTTTAAGGACATTCCAGGTACACAACCTGATCTGAGATCAGTGATTTTTTACTTCAAAGAAAAGCAGGTAATTACAGTTTCACTCTAAGTGTTCAGCACTCAAGTGTAAAATCTAATACAATAAGCATAACTCAGTACTCACAGAACATTTATTTACTAAACCTTATGGCCCTGAAATGAGTACAGTGACTGACCTTGGCCATGTAACATCACTAAGAAAATACACCCAGCTTCTATTATTCACCTAGTCAGAGGAAGGGGCTGGCACAATTCTTAGTATTTATCACAATTAGAATTCCTCTCTTCATCTGTCTGAAACAACAGTGAGGGGAAAATCAACATTCTCTGAGCATTGGTTATGTGGCAGGCTCTGGGTTAGGTGTTTGTGATCACCCAAATCCTTCAATCTTTTTCACATGAATCTATGTTAAAGAAGGCCTTCCCCCTTCCTATTCATCTAGGGTTGATAGTTTTGAGCACTAGTAACTTGAATTTTGTTGATTTGGGCCTGTTGACATCTTTTAAAATTCAGGCATCAAATATCATAGATATCACACACAGACTTGCTATTCTCCCAAGTTTGCAACATCTGTGCATTTGGTCGCCATCCAAATCCTTGATTAAAAAGTTGAATAACACAGGGTCAAGGACAGAACTTCAAGGCGGCTTCTAAAAAACCAGCCTGATGTGGATTTGTTAGTCAAAACTCATCATTTCTGGTTATTCAGCTAAAAAGCCACTTATTTCTAGGTTTTTATTTTTCTATCTTAAATTCTCATCTATCAAATGACTTTAGAAACATCTGGCTGGAACCCAGCGATAGCCACATGCAAGTATGTAGCTTCATATCATCTTTGTGATGTGGGTTGTGGAATACCCTACAATTAGAAGATCTTCCCTTCACAGATGCGTGGTTGCCAGTGAAACTCAGAGAAAGTAGAAACCAAATAAAATACTGTTTCTAGATTTTGTAAAAATAGCACCAACATAGTAAACTCTACCAAATCTTTAGCTAAATATATTTTGTATCAATGCAGTCAAGACATGACTGCAATTCTTTTCCTTCAAAACCAAAAGGGAATAAATCGCTGACAACTCAGATCACACTGACAGTACCTACTCTCTCTTTTTTAATTATTATGTTATGTTAATCACCACACATTACATCATCAGTTTTTAATGTAGTGGTCCATGATTCATTGTTTGCGTATAACACCCAGTGCTCCATGCAGAAGGTGCCCTCTTTAATACCCATCACCAGGCTAACCCATCCTCCCACCCACCTCCCCTCTAGAACCCTCAGTTTGTTTGAAAATACCTACTCTTAATAATGTTCTAAAATTTATATTATTTTTAATAGTGACATTGATGTAATCTCTTATAGTATTTTACTCTTCAAACTGCTCAAAATGCTGCACAGCAAAAGGCCCTGAGGGTATATGGTTCTCTTTTTCAAAGAAGTTATTTAATAGCGTAACGTGTATGCGTGTGTGCGTGCGTGTGTGTGTGTGTGTGTGTGTGTATCAGGCAGAAAAACCAAAGCTACACACTGTTACTGCATTTAGTTTGCTAAACTAAAAACACAAGCTAGCTAGCTCTTTCGTCTGTAAATAAACCATTTTAATGACTCTAAGGTATTTTCAAATTGGCTCACAGCATTATTTATGCAGCTTATACAAAGTGGAAGATAACCAGGTAGTAAAAAAATACCAAGTAGCCTTCTTTCCAAGTGCTTCCTTTTGAATGACCATAAATACTTCATATTTGGACAAGTGGTGTGGCTTTACTTATTGGCTCCAGCATACCAGCCAAAGGCCAATGAGAAGTCAGGCCCACAACAGGAGAGACCCTTTGTGAATTCACTAATCAGGTTATGTGCTCATAGTTTTCTTATCAATTTGAAATCATTAAACTGGATTTAAGATTGCCATTATTAGAGTTATTAATACATATGCCTCCATAAACAATAATAATGCACTGGAATTTCTACAATGCAGATTTATAGGTTTTGAGCTAATTCCCCAAATTACAGCCAATAATTTCAAATAATTAGATTTTTATTTGAGGTATATGGATTCAGTTATGTTATTAAACAATTCTCCAGAGCAGACCGGTAAAAAAGCCTACAGATGAAATACATTAGCAAACAAAACCCAAAAACTAACCTCAATTATACTCAAAGAAATGCAAACAAGAACAAAGCATTTATTTTTACCTTTAAAATTCAGAAAAAGAATGAGAAATGTGTAAAAATGTTAATATCCAAAGCTGGCACACTGCTGGTAGCAAAGAACAAAACACAAAAAAACAAATGTATACTCAAATTATAGCTAGAAAGGCCAGAAGTGGAGAAAAAAAGAACACTATGTAAACTGCAGAAAGGGCAATCTGGTTCTTTTGGCCTTGGCCACCAGGGTGTCAAAATACAGGGCAAGGTGTCCAGAGAGCTGTGCCAACCTCACGCAACCAGAGTACTAACATCATAAAATGACAGCAAACACAGTAATGCCGTAAGTAGCTAGCTGTGGCTGGATCAGAAACTGGATTTTATATAAGCTGGATTAGTTATGCTTCCTGTATTCTCCTATTTCCTCTTAGGATTTAGTAAAGAACAAAACACTGGAAGTTCGGTCTGTGTCAGCCAGACTAAGTGCATTGAAGGAGGGAGATGCTGAAGTGGAAATAATATACTGCAAGAGGCAGAATACAGATGGGAATGCAAAGCCAGGAGCCCCGAAAGGAAAGGTCAATCCTTGCTGCTCTGGGAACTTAGTCTTTTTTCCCCATCTGGACATTTCTTTTGAAGAGCTAAAAATCCTAGAGGTTCTAAGTTTTGTTTTAATGAAGGAGACAGCTATTCCCAATAGGATATTATATCCAAATCCACTCTTTTATTGATTCAGCAAGTATTTCCTGGGCACTTACTCCAGGCACAGCACAGTGGGAGGTCTGTACCATAATATGTACCATTAAGGTGGCGGCAATCGCCATAGAAAGACAGTGCATTTGAATACTTCTCTGTGATTGATTATGTGTGAAGTGGTGAAAAGAAAAGCAAGGAATGTTGTCGGCACCTAAAGTGAGGAGAGGTCTGAACAGGTGAAAATGGCAGGGCAGGGCTTTCAGGATGAAGGTGGCGAAGCTGCAGCACAGTGGGGACAGGCTGGAATGTGGGAATAAGCTGTTTGGAGGGAAGCAAGGAGATTGCTAGGTCTGGTTTCTCTGCCAGATTATAAATTCCATGAGTGCAGGGGCTGCTTTTTGCTCTTAATTATACCCTCAGCTCCAAGCACCATGCCTATGACGTTTCAGCAATACACAAATGGCTATGGCTGAAAGTAAAAGCAAGGGTTAAGGTTGAGGTAACAGACCACAGACGACCCTATTAGATTAATCAGTCTAGACTTGATCCTCTGGTCATAATCTTCCCAAGGAAAGCAGAGTCACAGATGTATTAATCTGGCAATGGTTGTGCCGGATTTCAGAGCAGAGAGCAGGGAGGCAGGGATGTTGATTCTACTGGGTTAGACATGAAGCAGTGAGGGCGCAGACCAGAGAGGTGGCAGGGAAAACGGAAGGGGTGAATACCAACAGATGGTGAAAGAGGCAAGAGTCCTTGAGCTTGGGTTCCCAGAAGACATCTTTTCTCATTCATGACTATTTCCTCTCTCCTAAATATCCATTTTTTTTTTTTTTTTTTAACTTCAAGTATCACACTTATCTGGGTCATATATGCAGGCCAATTTTCACATAAACTCTCGTCCTGTATAGTAAAATTCTGGCCATCCCCACCCCGTCAGTGTCAACATGCCCTCTACTACAACAGCATCTTGTCCTAAGCTAGTTCTTTTGTTGGAGTAGCTTTTTCTCCTTAAAGAGAAGAGGGAGAGGGTAGCATCAAGGGTTAGTGCAGAGTCAGGTTGTTTGTGGAGGAGAACAAATTCGAGAGCCACAGCCAACAAGAGGTGGCCATGATTTCTAAATTCTATCTTAAGTTCAATGGTATAAGTTTTAAGTAACTTGTGCTGCATGATCTGTCTTTTCTAGATTACAGTAATCAGTGTAGAGAAGGGTAAGTTAGACAATGAAGCTAACTGATGGATGGTACATGGACTAGGGATACAGCCAAGGGGACAAGAGAATTTAGCAGTGAAGGTGGCCCTGAAATAGCCAACCAAGCCAGGAAGAATCCAGCTGGCCCAGAGAGCCAAGCACTGAGTTACACGTGGGATCAAATTTAAGATAGGGAGAAAAAAAATACATTCCATGTGTTTGGGGAAATAGGAGAAATTACAGATAAATTCTGATCTGTTTTGCATATAAAAAACAGTAAAACTTACCTTTACATAATTCAGGTTCTGCAGTACCACAATTTCCTAAGTTTTAAATTTATGAATAAGAGCAAAGAAGATGCAAGTTAACAAAATAATTTAAAATTGATACCTGAAGAATCTGATCTCCAGCAAGGAGTCTTCCGTCTCTGGCGATTACCCCATCCCGATAGACTTCCTGGATAACAATGTTAATCAGTGGCGTTTCATTGCCGCCCACAATGCTAATTCCTAACTGAATATAAGGATTAGACCGGTGAATTTCAATCGTCGTAATTTCGCCTTCTGGTAAACTAACTGGCTGTTGTGTAGCTGCCAAGTTAAAAATGAGAGAGAGAAAAATAGATGGAAAGAACAACATTTTATATTTTGATTATCTTCAGGTAAGTTATCATCTATCATTAGTGATCACCTTACGTTAATAGATGATTAATAACAAAGCAATACCACTGGATAAGAAAAACAGAATGACAAAAAAACATCTATAGGTTAAGATTACCAAAACACTTCCTCTTCTAAAGGTGATCAGTAAATAACCAACAAATAACCACTATGTATCAGATCACTAGGGATGACACATTGATCTGATAAAGAAAAATACGGACAATGTCATCTTGTCCTAATTGATCAGATAAAGTTTGACTCATGAAACAACTGTAAATAATGCAAGGCAGTACATTAAAAAAAAAAAAAAGATGAACTCTGTGGTATACAATCACCACAGTGGTTGACAAAGTAACCAGATTAAGCTCTAAGAAGAGGAGGGTCTTGATCTGAGCATTAGGAGATGGAAAAAGTGTTATAGCCGTGGCCGGGAAAATTTGGATTTGTAGCAAAATTTGGAATGTTCATAAGAGAAAATCATATTTAAAAGTAAGACGTAGGGCCAACTATCAAGATATGCCCAAGATCTATGACTAGAGGCTCTCTGTGGGTTTCCTGCTGGGTCGTACAGACAGATCAGTGGCTGCTACCAGAGGACAGCAATAGTCAGAAGCACGACCTTGGAGTCAGACACACACGCAGCCATTTCCTGGCTCTCGGACTGTGACCTGTTGATTTCTCAAGACTCAGTTTCCTCACCGTTAAAAGAATCCAGTACTGGTACAAGCATTTAATCAGTTAACATATGTCAAGTGCTTGGCACAGTGCCTGACAGAATAAGCACTTAGGCTGAGGTATTACTTTTGTTGTTCTCGATGTTGTGGATTTCTCAGTCAAGAAGCAACAGGCTTCAAAACAAACAAACAAGAAGGAGCCTATTAATGACCAGTGAATTCGTGGACTACAACAGAAGAGGGGCAGGGTAAGATTCACCTTCTGTTTCTAAACTGGAAACTGTTAGAACTGTACACTTAAAGGGTGAGTATGCGGTATGTGAAGCCTAGCTCAATAAAATTATTTTCTGAAGAGGAAAAAAAACAAAACCCACGTCGGGAAAATAATAGGGAGTAGTGGGAAGAAAGGAAATGTCTGATTTGCAAACAGGGATGAAAGCCAAAGCAAGGTGAAGAGCACATACTGTCAGTGGCTGCGTTCTCCTCGAAGGCGGGATTGTCCAGGCCAGGCTCCTCAGTCCACGCAGGAAGAGACGCCGACGTCAAATTGCGCTCAGCAGGCGCCGTGCCTGTCCCCGAACAGTCCGTTTCAAGTGATAAAGTACCTTGTAGATCTATTACAGGGGTTCCGTTTTCATTCTCAATCTCTGTCTGAGTTTTACCAGTTTTCCTCCTCTCCAGGGCAAGTCTCCGATGAGAAGCTCCAGGACATCTAGAAAGAGACCATCAGGTGGTTCCCAGGTGATTTGAAAGGAAAAACGACTAATAGCTTGTGCTACAACAACAGAATAGCCATGGCTTCGATGCAAAACTCACCAAGAGTGTTGCCTTAGTTAAGTGTCAAGTTTCCCATTTGTAAAATATGTAGTATGTAATCCTGATTTTAACCTCTGCTCAAACTAAGTTCCTACCACACTGCAGAGCAAATTTAAAACAAGGCATAAGGCACAGTGGCTTCGTGCGTATTTCAAAGAATACTTCAATAAAAAACTGTATTCAGATATATAGTACTAGAAATATACCGGTACAGTTGATACTACACTGCAAATATTATTCTGAAATTCTGATTACATAACCCTTTTTACACAGGTCAAACGGCTTAACCACAGGAGTGGAAACAGCAGACTTCTTCCACAAAGTGCTCTTGTATCCCGACTTGACCCTGAGTGACACTGTGTCTTTCAGCTCTCGCAGCCAAGGATATACATTCATTTATTAGTGAGTAGCAATACATTTGAAGCTCTGCCACTTGCAGGAAAGCACAGCAAAGGCCCAAGAGGTTGCATACAGTGGATGGTGGTCTTGCATCTAGGGCTGCAGACTTCATTCAACGACAATATTTTTAAAAATCTAAAATTTCATTAAAAATTAAGTACAGGATTAAATTCAATGAAAACTGAAAGCTATCCCTTAACTGTAAAAGTAATACATTTCCCCTCATAAACTAAGATAAGTTGTGGGTTTCAAGTTCTTGAAAAAGATCATTATGGAATTTCTTTTTTTTTTTTTTTAAAGATTTTATTTATTTATTTGAGAGAGAGAGAATGAGTGATAGCACGAGAGGGGGGAGGGTCAGAGGGAAAAGCAGACTCCCTGCTGAGCAGGGAGCCCGATGTGGGACTCGATCCCGGGACTCCAGGATCATGACCTGAGCCGAAGGCAGTCGCTTAACCAACTGAGCCACCCAGGCGCCCCATCTTATTCAGCTTTTTCTCATTCCTTGTTTTCTCACGCCTTGTTAAGAAAGGGACAACTGATGTTTCCTTCTGCATTGTTGTGCAGCACTCCAGGAAATGTTCCTGCAAGGGCCTGGTGAGTATCTTGGAAAATTGTATCTCTGAGAAAAATTATTTTTGTCAAGTAAGCAGATTTAATGAGAAATGCATTTTAAAAATATTTCATTCAATAAAAAAAATGGTGACAAAAACTGGATCACAAAAAAATATTTGAGACTAAAAATATAGGTAAAGATTCGATTCCCCAAATGCGTATCACACACTGGTATCCACATGGGAAACAGCTGGTCTTTGATAGGGAAATGGACTAGGAACAGGAAGTGGGGAGGAAACACAAGCAGAATGTGCACAGCTGGGAGAGAGCCTAGCTAACATCTTACGCAAGAATAAATTTAAAAAGGGAAACCTTAAGTTGTTGGAGAGAGGTAAAGAAACAGGTGTACTTCCATCCCAATGGGACAGCAGATGGCTAAGAGGGACTCAATAAAGGTATCGAATTGGTGTCATGTAGAAGTATGGAAGAAAGTGCTTGTGCGGCGCCCAAGGAAGGTTACAGAGGGCTGCGCACCCACCTTTGAATGGACGGGCTAGATGCTCAGAGACAGGACAACGAGCCGGGAGGAGACCACGACAGAAAGACTTCAAACTAAACAAGGGAGGCAAGAGTGTCTACGAAGTGTCTACAGAGAAAAAGTGGCCAGTAGTGCAAATGCCACAGAAGAGGCCAATAAGGTAAGGAGCAGAGAGCGTTTCTCTGATTTGGTGGTTAAAAGGTCATGGTCACCTTACAGAGAACACTTTCGGGCACGAGCGCAGAAGCCCAGACTACAGTACAAGCATGTCTGCTCACGCAGTGCATGCCTTCTATAAAAACCGCCCCCTAAAACTTACTGGGCTTGAGGGAAAACGAGGATTGGGACAGACGATTCAAAATCTGGGCCTCTAGGGAATGGCTGCTAATGGGTATGGGCTTTCTCTTTGAAAATGTTCTAAACATTCGGCGACGATGGCTGCACGCTTCAGTGAATATACTAAAAGCCACTGACTTGCACATCTTAAAAATAGGTGAATTCTACGATAGGTGAAATATACCTCAAAAGAACTACTTTTTAAAAGACTGTTAGGGAATGAGTAAATCAGAGCAGGCTTGGAGCCACAGACAGCTCAAAGCCATTGTTCCTCCCGTCTGTAAACACTTGGAAGTGAAAGAGAAAGGAAGAATCATTTGTTGAGTGTCTAATCTGTGCCAGTCACTGTGGAAAGACCTCTACCTACCATATTTCATTGAATCCTCACAACCACTCTGTTATCCCTATTTTACAGATGGGAAACTTGACACTTAACTAAGGCAACATCACACAGCTGTTAAGTTGCAGAGTCAAAATCCAAACAAACTCAGATATGATACCAAAGACATCTGCTCTTTCCACTACAACATGCTAAATTCATTCTTTGTTTTCTTAAAGACATTTATTTGAGAGAGAGAGCAGGGGAGGGGCAGAGAGAGTGGGGGAGAGGCAGAGAGAGAGGGAGAGAGAAACTTTAGCAGACTTCTGTGCTGTGCGTGGAGCCTGATGCGGAGTTTGATCCCAGGACCCTGAGATCATGACCTGAGCCGAAACCAAGAGTTGGAAACTTAATTGACTGAGCCACCCAGGCACCCCCTTGCTAAATTCATTCTTATGGAGTTCTTTTTCTAGGCCAAAGTGAATTTGTTCCACAAAGTGGTGTCCAGAAGCACAACCAGAGAGTATGAGAAAGTCCTGAGTGAAAATTAAAAAGCAAACAAAAATCACAAACAACAAAACGGATGCATCTTTTTAAATGGAGCATTTAGCAAAAACACCACAAACCGCAACTGGCATCGGGGTTAACTTGGATTATTCAAGCAGGTAGGTCAATGTAGCAGGAGGCTAGTATAGAAAATATTAACAATGAATAGAACCAGGATGGCTGGTAATCACTGGAGGACTGGTGGCAGGGGGCGCAGAGCTCCGGTGTCTGGTTGTGGGTGGGAACTGAAACCGCACTGCTGCCAACAAGACCTTGAAAGCTGCATGTTTCCAGCCCTGAAGGGGGCCACACTGCGGCCCGTGAGGCATAACAAACCAGTAAATTACTCGTACTTTGAGGACTCTGACGGCACTGACGATTTTGTTTCTGCAACTGCACCTTGAAATAAGAAGCCCAGAACAACACCAGAGGAGTTAAGAACTAGAAACACCAAAACCTAAAACTGAAGAGTCTCCAGAAAAAAGACATTCCACTACAAGAGAAAACCCCTAGAAAAGGATGGCTTTGGATGAAAAGCTCTGCCAGAGAGACTTAGAGTCATACTGGCTCTATCGGTAAAGCAACTCAATAGTCACCGTGGATGTGGAGGAAGCTCAAGATAAAAGCAAAGGAAAATGGGCAACAGTGAACAGAAAAATGACTAAGTCTCCCCGTATCTCCAACTGCTGTGTAACCAGTGATTATTTAGATCTGGGTGAGATTCCAGAGGAAGGGGATTTTCACGGTGTTCCCGGAAAAGAAAAGCAGCAGTGCATGCCAGGGTATGACCCAGGAAGACCCGCAGTGGTGGGGGCAGGGCTAATGACTCTGAACTAGACTCTGCAACCGGTGAAGAGTCTGAGGGTGATTCTGATTTTTGTGAGAGTGAAGACATGATGTAGATGTCCCTATGAGAAAGAGTAAAGCCAAAGAAATTAAGAAGAAGTGAAGATAAAATCCCCAGCTGAAAAAAAAAAAGAGAAGAAAGCTAAATCCAAGTATAGTACTTTGAAGGCCCGTAGGAAACCATCACAAATACTCAGTCTGTCAGCAGGAAGCAGAAAACCCAGGCGGGTCCCACGGGTGGTATGCGGAAGTAGCAACAACAGCAGGAGCCCAGGGGCAGGAGTGTCTGCTAAGGCTCCAGATCAGTCCCCACCTTGGCTTGTCCAGATTAGCAGGAGTTAAACCTCTGCATCCAAATACAGCCAGGAGCTGAGTGTGGTAGTAAAGAAATGTTTCATTAAGAGAATCAGTTCTACAAGTGTTTATACTTGATGTGTGTTTCTGTTTACGGAAGGTATCTAAAATAAATGAATCCTTTAACGTCATATAAATGATCTCTATCCGTTCTGTGATAGTGTTCTCTGAAGCTATTCAAGACTTCAATAAGAGATTTGTTTACAAGAATTATACTGTAATATCATTTCCTTCTGAAGAACATATTCTATTTTTCTTATGTATGGTAAGTCACTGTCATTAAGTGGTTGTCAGTTTGACATGGAAGAAGTCCACATTACATGATGTTCTTTTCTAGTAACACGAAGTTCCTTTCTAGCCTGGTCGAATTTATGGTACCTTAACTTGAACTGTTTAGAGTTTATCTGGCAAAAGGAAACATTCCCATTTTTTTCCAGGGGACACTTCTGAAATCTTACTTAAGTTACATTGCCAATTTTGTTGCAAAGGTGTTTCATATTTTAGCCACACATTTTTATAGAAAGAATCAGAATTATTTTACACATTAAAATGGTTGCTATAAATGGCATGTGTCTCCTACTTAGAAGTAGAGGTTTACTGTATAACAAATGGAATGTAATGACATTTTATAAAGCTCTCATTGTCAAAACCTTTAATAAAAGCGAAAAGGTTTTGATACACTCTTTTCCTTGATATCATTGTATCCATGTCTGTTATAAATGAATGCTTTGGGGGGAAAAAAGGAATAAAAATAGAAAAGAAATGCATGCAACAGCTAATGAGATCAGAGTAGGCATGTGCTGACACAATGCAGCCGGAAGGGGAGCTCTGAGACAGCGGGCTGCCCCTTACAAAGGACACTGTGACGTGCCATGGCTGAGGGCCACACCACCCTATGGAGGTATCTCTATATGCTGGTGTGTCTTTTAACTGTCTTAAATAAAACCAAAAGGCTCTTACAGCAAGCAGAGCCAACCTTTCCTTTACTTTAAAAAAAAAAAAA